TTAAACTGTAAAGTTAAGTAAGACAAGGATTATAACCTCCATTTAGATTCCTGACAGGTGACAATTAGAATGAAAACTTATATATTATTCAGAGCTTATTACTGATCTGATCACTTAAACTAGTAGTCATATTGCAACTTGGTCTGCTAGAGTTCAGTTATCACTAAAGAATAAACAAAATGATTTCAGGTGGGTAGTATTTTATTAAAACACCATTGAAAACCTGGAAGTACTGGACGGTCATGACTACTGGGACTAATCTGTGTCAAGTAAAGACAATTATCTACCTCAAACAATAGATAAATGGTTGCACAAGCTCATGGATCGATTGAAATTAGACATTAACACTGTTGAATACCGAATCAGTAGTCTAGAGTTGAAGTGTTCGCGTGTGAGACAGAAGATCATGGGTTGAAATCCTAAGTCTGGAATTGTTCACTGCCAAAAAGTTCCTTACTAGAACGAAACCGCCGTCTCATGCAAAACTGTACTCACCATACATAAATTAATCCATTAAACGAATAGTCGTCAAGGGTTAAATTTTCGAAACCGGAGTAATAGTAGGAGGAGAAGGAGGAAGAGGAGAAGAAGAAGAAGAAGAAGAAGAGAAAGGTGATTGAGAGGAGAAAATCTTCTTCTTAATGATATCATTTTCTTGAAGCTGTACAATTATAATTATAATGATTAAATAAATATATGAGTTTATAGAATTATAGAAAGAAATTACATCATAAATTGTTCATAGATTTCAAGTACCAAAGAACGACTGAGTAATGATCTAACAATGAAGGAAGAATAAACAAAGATGGATGCTGGCTAGTAATGGAATCCAGGGTTGGTGGACACGTAGAGTTAACCTAGGGAAGTTAAGAAATCCTGATTTCGAACCAATAGTGTACATGGAACAAATGGCATATGGACCTATTGTTGGTCACCGGTTACCATGGGACTGCATCTCCTGACGTTGCTCCATTGCCTTATGGATTAGTCCTTCATGCCAAAGGCTTCAGGTGTGACCCTCTAAGAGAACCACCTGCTTCGGTTTGGGCACCCGGGCAGTATCACAGTCCTCACACGAACCGAATGATTTATGTGGCGCATATATATCTTGTGCATCCTTGTGTTTAAATAAAATAAATGTTCATTGAGGGATTCGAACCAAGTACCGTCCGCATCAAAAACACCATTAATTTGTCCACTTAGTTATTGAGTCCAACTGAAGAGCCCCATATAGGAGGAAACGCGTGTCCTGGATTCAACGGCTAGTCACTATCCATTACCGCTTATATTGGTTGTGATCTATATATTCAGTATCAAAATCTTTACAAATCAAATTGTAACTTACATGAACTTATGATACCAGTAGAATAGTATGAATTCAAAGACGAATTACAATAATCCCTAATGATCTGTTAATATAAATTACATAATTCAGGCTAGAAATTTCATACAGATTAATTACGTCACAATTTGTATAAGGCGATAATATACTTTTCTAATCATTCTACCTTATCGACATGAATTTCACTTTATCAATATGTTCGACATGGAAGTGAGACCACATGATAGTTGACAACTATGACTTGGTCCAAAGCTGATCATAAACTTTTAAGTCTTATGGAAAGCGAGCAATTTGGAAGACTCTCCCGATCTCTCACATTGTACAACCATTCCATGTACTTAAATTAATGGTTGCTCTGGTTGTCAGAAGGGGCATCAGCATCGTGATTTCCGAAAGAAATCGGCTTTCACCATGAGCCGTCATAACTTCTAAATCCCGGAGCAGAGTTTAAATGGTCTGAATTATTTTTTTTTTGTGGTTAGTGTTTTTTTAGCGAGTTAGTTTTCTACATGATAGGGTCGCTAACCCCATACCCAATCCTCCTTTATCCGGGCATGGGACCGGTAGTAGTCCCAGTAGGAGTTTCTTATAGAAAGTGATACTTTAAAAAAGAACTAATAACTCGTAATGCGAAATCCTCATTTATTGTTGCTAATGAATAAAAGTCACACTAGAAATAATTCATTCCATAGGCCAGATATCACACATGAAATACCTTGTTAAGTTATAGCTACCTAAAGTTTCTGCTGATGATGTCGTTCAGAAGAATAATATAATCGCCACGATCAAACTATCCAGATCGGAGAACAGAACTTCATCAAAAAGCCTCTTTTTTTTACAGTTCAAAACTGAGATGACATAGATACCCAGCACACTGTTTGTTTGTTTGTTTGTTTACTCTTAAAAAAATACAAAAATAATTTTCCGGTTTTTGATCCATGGAACTGAGAATGGAAAACATTGATAATGTTCATTGATTACCTAGTTACAATCTTTATTTCATCCACCAAAAGAAAAAAAGAAAAAAAATCTATAGTGAATTATCAAAGTTCATTATCATAGCTCTATTCCATGGGTGGTCTAGACATTTTATCCATAACTTACAAGTATATGCAATAGATTCAATTAATAGAAATTAATGTTTAAAGGTGAAATATATAACAAAACAATACTTTATAGATTTAAACGTTTTAAAAAAAGTTAGGATTAGTTAAGTATATGATCGAGATCATGAATCGATTGATGTTAGATCCTCATTGAAAACAAAGAAGCATTGGATAGCCGTTTTATCCTATTGTGGGACTATTCAACAGTGCACATCTACGATTTTGCCTCGCGAGATTCGAACACAGAATCTACGAGTGCTTAACTACTAAATCATTAAGCCGGTCAGCATCCAACGGTGTTAATGTCTAACCTCAACTAATCCATGAAATTTCGCAACCATCTTTCATTGTACTTAGGTAGATAACTGTCTTTATCTGATATTGTATTAGTTTTACTGATCACTGTGTCTCACTAGAACTCCGAGAATTCCCTCATGAAGCTTGTTACTAGTTAGTACATGATAATTATCAGTATGGGATTGTGGAGAATATTAAGTTTTTGATTGAGATCATGAACCGACCAATGTTAGGTCACTATTGAAAACACGGGATTCGGACCCATGTCGTTTGATCTCGTGCGGAAAACTAACCTCTAAATTATTGAGCTGGCGCACAACTATGTAAATATCTAACTTCAACTAATCTATGATATTGTGCGATCATTTTCCATTGTCTTCGGTAGATAACTGTCTCACACCCGGATAACTGTTATTAAGAGACCAAACAATGAACGATATTGTTAACATCAGTATTACACAATCTTCAATTCCTTTATACGTCAAGAAAATCCATACGAGAATCTGTATTCGTGTCAAAAGTTTATCAATCACAAGAATCTATCAAGGTTAGTGAGGTTTTCAAAGTAGGTAAGATGATCAATCCATTCAATTACTCTACTCCCTGTTCATGATCTCAATCAAAAACTTAACCACCTCCACAACCCCATACTGATAATTGCAATGCGTTCAATAGTGAATAGCTTCGTGAGGGAATTCTCGGAGTTCTAGTGAGAAGCCATGACCAGTGAAGCTAATCCGTGTCGGATAGAGACAGGTATCTACCTAAGTACAGTGGAAGATGGTCACGCTATTTCGTCTATTGGTTGATGTTAGATACCAACACCATTGGACGTCGGCTCACTGGTCCCGTAGGTTGAGCGTTCACGCGCGAGACTGAAAGCCCCTGGGTTCGAATCCCGCGAGCGGGATCGTGAATGCGCACTACTGAAGAGTCCCACAATAGGGCGAAACGGCCGTCTAGTGCTTCCAGGTTTCCAACGGTGGTCTAACATCAATCGGTTCATGATATTAAGCAAAATAAAATAAAAATCTATTCAAACCGAAATCGAATTGAAATGATTCAGATTATCCTGTTATTGGTATTTTTGGCTGGAATTTGATCACTCATGGTTAACGTACGACCATTCCGTGCAGATTGCCTTGATATAGATTTTATGATACAACTTAATATAGAATAGGAGGAATGTGTTTAGCAGTGGGATGCAAGATGCGCGTTCCATTCTATTTAGAACTAGTCAGTTGGAGGACCCTGCATCCCAGAGTTGACTTTCAAATTTCAATTAAAAGTGTCAGTAACGGAATAATCCTAACCACTTGCACAAGTAAGTAGCTATCTAGGCTCAGTGGCTAAATGGACAGCATGATGACGTTTGAAGCAACCGGTACTGGGTAATAACTTGTTTTTCCATAGGTTGAACTTTAGCTACAAGACTTGAAGACCTTAGTTTGTGGATATAAGAAATTCCATACTAGACGGAAACAGCTACCCGTTACCTCCCGATCTACAATAGTACACTGAATGACTTCAGTTCCCGACAAAAATCTACCCTTATACCAAACTTATTTTCACAAAAATGGTCAAGCAGATTAAATAAACTGAGGTTTTGAAATAATATATATGAGACCACCATTACATACACAGATGCATTGGACTGCCGTTTCGCTCTAATATGGAACTCCTCAGTAGTGCCTATTCATGGCCCTGCACCAAAGAGACACGAACCAACCACCCCATGTCTCACGTGGAAACGCTAAACCTCTACACCACTGAACGGTCGAGATCATGGTTGGGCACTACTGGAGAGTTCATATATTAAAACTAAACGGGCGTTCAATGCTTCCAGATTTTAGTGGACTAACACTGATCGATTTATAATCTCAATTCAAACTCAACAACCTCCACAATCCCATTATTAAAGATTTAGCTAATGCTATACACTCATTTGAAAAATAATATAGTCATCATTACATTATTTAGAAGCTACGTAAACAAATACATTTAAATATAGCTTCTTTTTTCCACAAAGTCATATAAATCTCGTTCGAGGGATCGTGGATGGGCACTACTGAGGAGTCTCACATTAAACCGAAACGTCCATTCAGTGTTTCCTTATTTTAAATGGTGATCTAACATTGATCAGTTCATGATCTTAATCAAAAACTTAATAATCTTTACAACATCATACTGTTAATTCAAATCATTTACACTTTCATTTTCTTTTCTTTTTATTATTTTGAATTATTTCAATGTAGTCTATTTAAACAATACGATGATATTCAATGGTCAGTAGATGAAAAAGAAGAAATAAGTAAAACAAATGAAATAATAAACAATGGTAAGTTAAATGGTATACATAACTTTGAAAGCAAAGATGGATAGTGGCTAGCAGTAGGATGCAGGACGCGCGACACATCATCCTATTTAGGACTCGTCAGCTAGATATACCCGCATCCCAGAGTTGATGTTCACTCCGGGACTCGGACCCAGTATCGATCGCTTCAAACACCATCGCGTTATCCACTTGGCTACTAAGTACTGATAACTTATTAACAATGTTTAATAAATATCTAAAGAATATTTGTACTCTTCGATATAACTGATTGGTATATTAACGAAAGGAAATAGTAATAGTAAAGATAATAACTGTAAGATTCAATTCATTCATGGTTCCCCTTCATTTAGACACATGTTACAATCAAGGTAATAGAGACAATGTATGGATGTCTTTTATCAACATTGACTGAGGTAGAAATTGTTTTAAATGATCTGTTTTATATCAATGACTTTAGTTCTTAGTATTCTCAATGATCATTTGAGATTTGAACTACTACCCCCCCCCTTTACTGAACTATACTGGTTAATTCATTTTCATAGTCAGAATTACCTAATCAATATCATTAGTTCCCTACTTTGGAAACCTCTTTGATTCAATGTGATCATCTGTTTCCACATCTCTCTACATCTCTCTCTCCAGTGTATTCAATTGTGTATCTGATGAATAATGAACCTTATGAATGATTAACCTATTTCAATCAATACTTTATTATATAACCTTACGTGTAAGTTTCTTCTAGATATTGAGTAGTTGAAGGAAATCTAAAGAACAAATGAATTCATTTTCTTTAAAGCGGATGAAAATAAGAAGTATTCAGTAAGACTTGAATTCGAAAAACCTTTATATTTTGATGTTAAGGAAAATAATGATTCAATTGATAGTAAATTTTGAAATCAAGCTAAATGTTTACTTCTGCCCCAAAATGTCTTGGTACAGCCGAGGGTGAGAAGAGTCAGCTCTCATTCCCCAAATACTTTCACATGGCCACACGTATACAACCATTGATATGGAAGTCCTACTCACTGCCTTCTAGCGGAACTACTGTTTTTTTCCGAAACTGATAGAACGAAAACCGAATGTCTGGAGCTTTAACCGGGTTATTTGACAGGGAGGATCCAACTAGGGGAGTCGGAAAACTCTGATTCCAATCCAATGGTGCGCCTCTAGTCCAGTATCCTGAGAAAACCAATGACTTATGAACCAATTGTTCGTCACCGAATAACATGGGACTGCATCTCCTCACGTCGCTTCACTGTTTTGTGGATCCGATCTCTAGATCACAGGCTCCTGTTGTAACCTCCTAAGAAAACCACCTTCTTTGGTCTAGGCATCCAGGTAGTATCATATATCACACACAAAATCAATTGATTTATATAGTGTATATGTATTCAATGCAGTAAGTCCCATATAAAACGTTTACATTTTGATGATATAATAAATGAATAAATTTCCCAAATGGATTATTCAACTTACCTTTAATAAGTCACTATATTTTCTATTTTAAAAAAAAACAATATTATTCCAGATTTTCTATCTCAAACTGAAAACACTACACAACATGATGATGATATAAACAAACCAAATGATTATATGAATGAAATATTCACAGATATACCGGATGATTTAGCTTGGCAATCCACTTCACCATGTTCATCCGAATCCATTGATTCATTTTCATGTAGTCGTAATGATTTAAGAAATTATATAAAAGATAATTTATTATCAAATCAAAAATCCTTGTCTTCAGATAAATCACTTGAATGTATGAATATAGATAATAATATGTCAACAATGAATATTTTAAGTATATCAAATCATTTTGAAAATACATTAGATCCATCATTGTTTTATCCAATAGATTATACAATGACACATAATTATTGTTTAAATGAATATGATAATCATCATAGAAATGATGAAGAATTATTCAATAATATAAAGGAACAAACAAAAATCACTTCAAATGATCTTAATGAAGATGAGTCTCAATTGGAAAGTACAGATATAGCTTGGATGGATACATTAGATGTTTCTAGTAAGTAATTATTATTCATATTAGAAGGGGGTTTTTGTGAATATTATGGTAGTTTTTAATAGTTGAGATCATGAGTTAATTGAATTTAGATTATCATGGAAAACCTAGAAAGATTGAATGGATGTTTCGTCTCAGTGTGGGACTCTTCAGCAGTGGGCATCCATGATCCCATCTTGTGAGATTCGAATCCAGAACCTATTGGTCTTGAGCGCAAACGCTTGACATCAAAACCACTGAATCGGTTGGCATCTAATGGCGTGAATGTCTAACTTCAATTAATCCACGAAATTGAGCGACACATCCATCAATGTCTTAAGTGAGTTAATATCTCGCAATAGGACGAAACGGCCGTCCAGGGCTTTCACGTTTTTCATGGTGGTCTAGCTTTAATTGACTCATGATTATCATTAAATTGATTGATTTTGTAGCAATTTAGTTATCATATGCAAATTCATATCTTTGGATTTGTTATGAATTATGATGTGATGTTTAATGATAGTATCAAGACTAAGCAATAATGGCATTCAAACGTCAAACAGTAATTAAAATTTGAATATTTCAGCTGTGAATGATAATGATCAGCCGAAAATCTACTGAACACCAGTGAGTACTAAAAAATATAATGTCAATATTTCAAGATATTGGTGGATGAGGTTGAAATTCCATGATTTCCTATTTGGGACTCGTCAGCTGGGTGTGCATGAGTCTCACAGTTGATGTTCACTCTGGGTTTCCAACTCACCACCGTTAGCTTCAAACACTACCGCGTTATCCACTTAGCTACTGAGTTCTGATGTATACAAATTTGTCAAATCCATTTATGAAATATCACATCGAGGTGGGATTTAAATACGAAACTGAATGTATGATTATGAATCTTATCAAGTGGATATGATAAAAGAGTCAGTATTTTACACCAAAGTCATCGAATAATCTTATTCAATAATACATCATTACCTTGTTGAATTAATTTAGTGGACCCGGAATCTGACTCCAGTTAGATTGAATGAATGATCATTATCGAATGATTGTTATTGAAATATACATGTCGTCAATCGTCGTATATCATTGTCGACTTAACTCGCGTTAGTAAACAAAAAACGGAATTGAATAAGTCAAATACGAGAATAAAGTTTGAATGAGTATATTTCATACAGTCGTTGATCTGAGAAATGAAGCTAAGAAAGCGAAGCAAGATGATACGCAATGGAGGAGGCAATTGAGCCAAATTCATTTAACCAAGCGTGAATCGGTATTTATAGTCTGACAAAAAGAAGTTACAGACATTTGATGGGTAAGATAAGAAATGTATACAACTTGAGCTTGCATAAAAACAGTCAGGACTAATAAGCAAATAAATGACAGAGTAAAAATATGTCATGAGTAGAGTAAATAGATTGATCTATTCACAGGTTAGAATAATCCATGTGAGCTTGATAAGGTACCAGCCCCTACATAAACCATTCACAGTGTTATGATCTGATTGCATTTAATAATGTAGAAATACGAACCGAATTAGTGAATACAAACCAAACATAATGAGATTATCACAATTGATTGATCACTGGGTGGTGATCAATCTCATGCTTGTCTAGTCCTTATTAGTGCAGATCGAATGCTATCGATCATGTTGCAATGTGGCCACCAGTCTAGGTGACTCGACACTGCGGGCACTATGTAATGAGATTAGATGGTGGTTGGAGGTAGTCAATAGGAAACCCTGGACCCGGGTTTCGTGCTGCTTGGCACTCGTCAGCAAGGTGTACCTGTAATCCTGAGGGAACTGGTGCTCCCTGGCGGATTCGATCTCGTGTCACCATACTCCCAATAACTTAACATCTAGTTTTCAATTACTGAGAAGATAAAAGGTAAAAGACAATTTATTCCCTGCTTCAGCTAATAATGCTAAATGACAAAATACTTAGCTATTTATAAATGTTTAGGGTATGTATGCAAATCAGCTAGTCAGTATGTAAATTTTATGGTGTACAGGTTTAAACAGATTTTGGTCAAAATCATAATATGAGTGAAACTGTGAATTAAGAGTTTCATTGATACATTCATGGATCTTCTCAGATTATTATCGTTTAACAAGGTCTAAGGTAAGAAAAAGAATAAGATGAGACTATAATTTATGGATAACCTTTGAGCAACGTTGAAATGATCTTGAGAGTGTTTACCTAATAACCAGGACTAAATGAAAGTTATAAATGAGTATGAGGAATTAGAACTATGGTTTGCGATTGATGATTAAGGTTAAGAATTAGATTTAGGGGTTTTCATCACGAACTGACATCAGCTATAATGCCGAAATTCTATTTAGCCAAATGGATGAAAGGCTTTCATGCCCAAAACCGAGATCTATTATCTTATACCTGATTGGTTCGTCCATAAATTTTAGTCTCACCGAAATAATTGATTAGTGTAATTCACTGGTTATTATGGTGTTGTAGTTAATAAGAACACAAGTGGGGTCAATTGAATATATACTCGAATACACAATTACAGAATCTCTTAGTAAAATCTGAGAATTATACAGTAAATACTTCATTTGCAAAATGTCAATCAATCGTATCAGACATGATCGCTCCTTTGTTTCCACACCAATCATTCGTTGTTCTCGTTCTCTTTTCTTTGATCTTCTGCTTCCAGGCATTTCACTTTCTATTGATGATACATATTACTCCTATCTGTCGATATCAGTAGCTCACACCACAATGTTAATGCACTCATTTTCAGAAGGGGTTTGTGGAGATTTTAGAAAATTCACAGATTGAAATCATGAGTCAATTGAAGCTAGACCACCATGGAAAACCTGGAAGCACAGGACAGCCGTCTCGACCTAGTATGGGACTCCTCAGCAGTGCGCATCCACGATCCAGCACCCCGCGACATTCGAACCCAGGACCTGTCAGTCTCGCATCAAGCGCTTAACCAACTAGACCACTGAGCCGGCATGGTGGTCTAGCTTCAACTGACTCATGACTTAAATCTGTGAAATTTCTAAAATCTCCACAAACCCCTTCTGATAATAATCATCTGCTCACCAGTGACTGACTTCACGAGATACTCCTGGAGTTCTAGTGAGAAGCCGTTACCAGTGGAGTTCAACCAGGTCTGTTGTGAGATATCAGCTCACTGAAGGCAATGGTATACGGTGGCGCAACTTCGTGGATTGGTTGAAGTTAGACATTAACACCGCTGGATGCCGGCCGGCTCAGTGGTCTAGTTGGTTAGGCGCTTGGCGCGAGGTTGGTATGTCCTGGGTTCGAGTCTCGCGGCGTGCGGGGTCGTGGATGCCAGGGCCAGATGGCCGTCCAGTGTCGCCAAGTTTCCCATGGTGGTCTAGCTTCAATTGACTCATAATGTCAATTTGTGAACATTCATTTTCATTAGCTTTTACATCTTATTAATAGAATCTTCAAACATACACCACAATGTATTGTTTATTAATTTTAAAAGAACATAGCTTAGCTGTAGATCATTAGAATTGTATGTTTCAAGGGACAGACTACTGAAAATATGTTTAATCATGTTCAATGATTTATATATTTCCAAAAACAATATCTTATTATGTAAATTACAAAATATGGACGTATTCATTTGTTTGAAACCTTTGTTACTTATCAGGATGAGGAAACCTTATATATTTAAGAGATGAAACTAGTTCAATTATTCGAAGCTTTGGTTGTTAAGGCTGCTATGTCCCAGGCTTATAAGATTCTCGCGAAATACGATTACCAATTTAGATAGGTTGACTTGAACGACCAATCAATAACGCATACATCAGTATGAACAACCCAGAATACCGACTGGTCCCTTTCTCGTCTACCTCTGCATGTTAAGTCCACAACATCAATCTCAACATCCGCTATACGAATTATGCATTTCAAACATATTGAGTTTAAATACAAACAGATCAGACCACATCATCTCATCAAATAGAAAATAACAATTGTATAAGATCAAGCCAAAAGTGGCCGTAATTGTAAGAGACTCTAACTGATAGATTGGAAATAACTTAAGAACAATAAATCATATAGTAGTAATTAATAGGTTAAATGGAAGCTTATAATGATAGGAATATGAATATACATATAATATACTTACTTAATAGGTATATAATGGGTATATACGTATAATATTAGTCCTTAAGTAATTCTTAACAGTTATCACTCATTCAATCTCGTCCGGAGATAAACAAAAGTAATGGAATCAGTGAGATATTCTGTTAAAGAAGTACACAGAAATGACATACGCTACAGCTCTTACGGATTAGTTTCGAATTGCTTTCTATCATTTGAAGTAGTCACTTAGAATGTTAAGATAATTCAGCCCATATGATGTAAGATTATCCAAGACATCCACTGGAACTATGAATCTTGTCAACAGAAGCTTTATATTATGTATGGTTTCTTCATTATAATGCACGTATATTATAAATACTTACTTGTTAGATAAGTTAGTGAAAGAAGATATTTTGCATACGGATAATTTCATGTTAGAATAGAATTTTTTACATAAATGCCCTGGTAGGGCAGAGAGTGGGAAGAGTTCGCTCTCCCTCTCCAAATGCTCTCACATGGTCACGCGTATATAGCCTCTGTCAGAGAAGTCCTTCTCATTACCTTCTCACACCAGGGGTATTGTTTACGAAATTCAGAGAACAAAAAGCGAATGTCCGGTGCCTTAACCAGGTTTTTGGACATTGAGATTCCACCTAGAGGAGTTGGAAAACCTTGATTCTTATGACAATGGTGCACATGGGCTTCAGGGTCCTGAAGGAACAAATCGCCTATGAATCAATCGTTGGTCACCGGCTACCATGGCATTGCATCTCCTCATATTGCTCCAATGCTTTGTGTATCAGACTTTCAGATCTGGGTGTGGCCTCCTTAGAAAACCACTTGCTTTGGTTTGGGCACCTGGGTAGTATCACAGCCCTCACACAAATCGAATGAGATTTGTGTGGCGCATATGTATCTGGTGCCTCCTTGTACCAATATCTATGTGTTAAAATAAAAAAATAATAAAAACATAAATCACTAGTTGTTCTAACTGTGGAAGTATTACTTTTTATGGACTATAGACATGGATTTTTCTATCTTCTATCGTACTGGCACTTGATATGTTATGATATGTTTTCTCTCTACTAGTTAATAAGGACCAATTTGTTACCGTAAACCTCATGTTCAGACTATATTTACATTTTGGTCACTTATTCGTATTGACAATCCAAATAAGCAGTATACTAAACATATTGTTATTGAACAGGAATATATATATATATATATATATATATATATATATATATATATATATATATATATAACTGTCAATAGTGATGGTCTTACTTTTCAAGTACAGTCTTAAACACCAATCGAAATACTTGGACAACCAATAAAAATACATTTAAATCCACTCTATTGCATTTACCAATGTCCATCTGTGCTCATAACTAAGTAAATATCACTGTGCCTTTCGAAAAGGATGGTACTGAGTTCGAGTCCTCGGATGAATATCAACTCAGGTACAAATGCATCCAACTGACAAATCCCGAATGAGATGAAACGCCCCTCCTGAATTCCAATGCCAGCCACAGTCTAACTCAGTTTATAATATTCAAAATTTAGCGGTATTATTAAAACGATCCGCATAAGATATACATATACCAAAAGAGACTGATCAATTGAAGTCCTAAACACTAATAGGAAGATTTAAACAATCAATACATATGGATAAAATAGAGTGCTAGTAATTGAAACGATGAAAACATTTCTGACTAGAACATTTTAGAAGGATCCAATCTTTCACTTCCCGAAATTCATCACTTTTCTCGTATTTATCGAATTAACTTGTCTGTAATTTATCAAATGCCTTGATTTATTTAATCTGAAGATTCTATACATGAAAGATTAATACCCTCAAAATGAATAATTACTAGTTATATCGAAAATAGTATAATTAATGTTAACTAGACTGATGTTCTTATGTGAGATTAAAACCAGCATATTTCAATCTTGTGTGGTATGAAATGCCATTGATTCAATGAGTTGGTATTTAACAAATCTACATTTTCAACTTCACTTAAACTATGATATAGTGTGATACTTATTATTGCAGAATAAGTCAACGCCATACTTCACGATTTCATAATGAAACTGTAGAATAATAATATCGACGCTAGTTATCAAAAATCATATGACTTCTTGTTAATTTAGTTTACAATCGATTGAACACTAGGTGGTGATCATTGTCATGTATGTCAGTTCCTTCTTAGTACAGATCGAATCCTATCGACTAGGTTGTAATGTGCCCACCGGTCTAAGTGACTCGACATCATGTGTCAGTCAGTCAGTCAGTAACAACGTAGAACTTCTTACGAACGTACATCAGATCGAGTTGTCACACCACCTTAGCGCAGAGATGCAGTGGTCGATTTAAATCCCGTAGTGGTAGAGGTAGTAAGAGTATAAGCAGTAATCGGGAAAATTAGGGTTTGGAGATGTTATTTAAAGAACATAATCCAGTGAAATAAATTTGAAAAGAGGAAATAGAGACAAGGAGGAATCAGGAGATTAGAATTTGGGAAAACACAAAGAGTGGATGCACCTCCGTCATTGCAAACGACTTTGAGCCATGTCATTCAAGGTCTCTAACTATCGGTTGCTATCATCTCGTGGTCCACAACCAGGTAGTCTACACCTACCAACATGACTCAGTCTACTTGTCAGTGACTTCATGGACTTGTGCCATGTTTTGGTTTGGCCGCCTCTAGCTTTCTTCCAACCTACTCCTATACAACTAAACATAGCACGTCGAGGCAGTCGGTAGTTGGGCATAAGTAACACGTGTCCCAGTCATCTCAACTGATGAAGTTTCACTACTCCATCAATCGATTTGCCATCCTTACCTAGTACCCGTTTCCTAACAACTGCGTTACTTACTCGATGGTCCCAGGATATACGAGCAATATTTCGAAGACTCCTATGATCAAATACTAGTAACCTACGTATATCCTCTTCTCTTACAGGCCATTTTTCACTGCCATAAAGTAGGACGAGACGAACTGCTGCGCAGTAAACACGTCCTTTGGTTGATAGACGGATATCTCGCCTACGCCATAAATGACACAAGTTGGCAAAAGCTAGTGGAGCCTTCTGTATCCGTGCTGAGATTTCGTCACACACCAGACCACAATGGCTGATGAGACTTCCAAGATAAGTGAAGCGGTCGACACACTCAACTACTTCACTCCCTATCACTAGTTTGGGTGTCAATGTAACCCAATCCTGAAGCAACATTTTGCATTTCAAGGGAGAGAATCGCATCCCGAACATGCTTGCATTGTTGCTTAGAGTGGTCAGAAGACTCTGCATTTTGTCAGCGTCTTCACCAAAGAAAGTTAGGCATCATGTGTAGTATATTGAGATAAGATGGTGATTGGAGTTAGTCAACAAAAAGCCCTACACCTACGTTATGTGCTACTTGTCACTTGTCAGAAAGGTGTACCTGTAATCTTAAGGGAACTGATGCTCATTAACGGATTCAATCCCATATCACCCAGCTAATTAGGTGTTTTGTGTAGATGTTGGTAACATGATGCTTGACTTTGTCACAAACTAACACTAATTGAACATTATGTTTTTCCAGCATATTATAAAATAAAACTAATTTCTGATCTTTACTCACTCCTGAAAAACAATTAGAATAATACTGAAGACATTTCCAATTACATCTTGTTCCATTTCACTAGATCTGCTTAGTGTTGAATAAGATTTCTCACTCTTTCACTTCACCACATACACAAAAATGTTCGTTTTACATAGTACTATCACAAAACACTTCTGTTTAATGATATCATTAACAAAACTGACAATTTTTATATGATTTTGTTAGTAATTATATGCATTCGTAATCCCGATGACTCCAATGGAAAAGATTCTATGTGAATTCCATGAAATTTATCGAAAACATTTCAGTTACTTGTAAAAACATTAAGTAGTATATAACATTTTCACAAAATATCTGAACGATGTGTACACAACTCACTTGGTATAGTTTGTTTGAATCTTCCCATTGATGTTTAGGACTGCGATTGGTCAGTCTCTTATCGGTATATGTGCATACTGTGCGTATTGCTTCGATATAATCTTAAGTCTCAAGCACTATATACAAAAGTGTATAGTGGTTAGTAGTGGAATTCAGGACGTGGGTTTCGTTCTATTTGGGACTCGTCAGATAGATGTGTCTGAGTCTGAATTGATGTTTACTCTGGGTTTCCAACTCATCACCGTTAGCCTCAAACGCTACGGTGGTATCCACTTAGCTACTGAGTTCTGATGTATACAAATTTGTCAAATCCATTTATGAAATATCGCGTAGAGGTGGGATTTAAATACGAAACTGAATGTACGCTTATGAATCTTATCAAGTGGATATGATAAAAGAGTCAGTATTTTACACCAAAGTCATCGAATAAAGAGTTCAGGACGGATGATTAAGATTTCATATGTCAATACATATGATATACAAGATCGGTAGAAGTTAGACAATAACATAGTTTGATGCCGATTCAGCAGTCTAAAGGTTAAGCATTCACTCGTGAGACCGAATGTATTGAGTTTGAGCCCCTTTGGTGAAGAATCATGGATGCGCACTGCCGAGGAGTCTCATACTAGGATGAAACGGTCGTTTCGTTCTTCCAGATTTTCAATAGTAATCTAACTTATATTGAATCGTGAATTTAATTGGTAAAATATGAGAAAGAATCGATTGTACAATTCTGTCTAAATTTCAGTAATATTCCTATTTGATATAATCTTTTCCAATGGTACAATATCATAATAGAATCCATTTAAATGGATAATATCATACATTAAAAAGGTAGAATATAGATTAGTAAAATCTCAGCGAATGAATTTGAAGTAAATCCAGCGTTTTCGCCTGACAATCTGGTCCAAGCTTTTTCAAGGAAACTATAATCAAACAACAAAACTATGGAATATACATAGGTACATAGTCCTTTGGTTTACTGTATACTGAATACGTCATCCAATCAACGTGAACAATGTTTAAAGTAGGTATTTACATTAGTGTATAAAAGACTTGTGGTATGAAATGAAAACTGTGTATACATAAGTGGTATGAGAAGAGATTTCATTCATTCATATATTGTCCTTTGATCGGTGAATATTCAGAACAACATATAATATGGAGGAAGAATGTATTTGTCACTGAAAGTTTGTGTTACTTTTATTGTTCCAATGAATTGTTTAACATATTCAGATAAAACAGCTGATTAGAACTGTTGAATGTGATTGATGTTATTCAAAAATAATAAACGATAGAGTTTAGGTTTACTTATTAATTATTAGTTGCCGTGGGACACCTGATTGTATTCCATCTCTCCTATTATTACTGTTTGGATTTGTCTATATGTATAGAACTTCAGGTGTTAGTCTTTCTTTGTAAGAATGAAAACCTTTTTAAAGGATTGTTATGCTATTGTAATCAATCTTATGATCTGATTCTATGGAGTATAATGGTATAGCTGATTTGTTTTCGAGTTTCCTTACATCAACAGAAGATTTAGAAATGTACTTTAAGCATAATTTGTATTCCTTCACCGTCACATTCAGTTGCCTTGATGTTTCACCTACATACATTGTATTACAGTCATTATATTTGATTTCATAAACACAATTCTATTTTTCATCCTTGTGTATTGGAATCTTTGATCATAGAGTATTGTTTGTTTAAAAGAATACTCTTATATTTTGAAGAGACTATCATATTTGACAAAGATTCTTTACTTGAAAACGTTTTTCTTCTATGAAATTTATTCAGGTTTACGTATGGATGATGTTGTACAAATTTTTTCAACAGTTAATTCATTAAAATCTACATCAGAAGAAATCAATAAATTTGATTATTCAATATCATCACCATCATCATCTCCATCCTCAACACCATCATCGTCGTCATCATCACCATCATTATCCTCAACACCATCATCGTCGTCATCATTATCATCATCCTCAACACCATCATCATCGCCATCATCATCGTTGTCATCACCATCATCATCATCATTAATTCAACATAATTATGATCGGAATAATAAACGTTTACAATTGAATCACAATTCAATGTTCAATGATGATGAGATCATTTCGAATGAAGAAGAACACGTTGAACATAAACTCCCATATAATAATGAAAAGAATAATGATGAATATAATTCAGATAGTACATTAACATGTTCCGAAGCTGAATATTATAATAATTTAATACGTCAAAAACGTTTAAGAAAATATCAAACTAATAAACGAAAATTTAAGCATAGATCTTTAATTTCAAATGATCAAGATGGATCCTATTCACCATCATCATCATCTTCTTCTTCTTCTTCTTCTAATGATGATGATGATGAGGAGGAGGAGGAGGACGACGAGGAAGTGGAGAAGGAGAAGAAGAAAGAATATGAAAAGATAATAAATAATCAATGTAAAAAGTTTACTTATCATTCAATTACTACTAATTTACATCATCGAAAAAAACCTCATTCATCAGAGTATTATATACAATCATCAAATGAAATAAATGAATATGAATCATGGTGGCCTAATCCTATTACACGACGTATGCATAAAGATTTTCGTTCAACCCTTTGGTTATCTAATGAATTATTAGATTCCAATGATAAAGAGATACAACAACAATCTACCATTTCAATGAATAAAATCAAATCAAGAAAACATCGTAAATTTGCCCATTCACATAATAATCATGATCGATGTAAAAATAAACAAATGGAATTATGGCAATTTATATTATATAGTTTAGAAATTAGTAAAGATAGTGCATTTCAATGGGTTAATAAATCAACTGGATTATTTCGTATTGTAAATACACAATTAGCAGCAAAAGAATGGGGTTATTATCGTAATAATAAATTAATGGATTATGAAAAAATGGCAAGAGCTATAAGGTAAATGAAGATTATAATTTATAATTATAATAAACTTATTTATACTCGAAGTACTGGATGACTGTTTCATCCTATTGTGGGACTCCTCCTTATCAGTGAGCATCCATGATCCGAACTTGGCAGATTCGAGCCCAAGACTAGAACGATTAACCTCTAGACCACTGAGCCGATCGGCATTCAATGATTTTAATGTCTAACTTCAACTAATCCATGAAATTGAACAACATATCCACCATTGTCTTCAATGAGTTATTATCTCACAATAGGACGAAACGGCTGTCCAGTGCTTCCAGGTTTTCAATGGTGGTCTAACATCAATCGGTTCAAGATCTCAATCAATAATTCAATAATCTCCACAACCCTATACTCTTTATTTGTATTCATTTATACCCAACTTACTGTTTTGTTCTAATGGTTTATTGATTATAATCTGACTAAATCATCAATTGGAACTCTGATTTATTTGACCTTGGTACTGTGCCAAACCAATGATACGTTAACCAGTACGAACAGCCTAGAGTTACTGGTTCTTTTCACCTAATCCAGCCGGTTAAGTCCAGAATACCAATGTCAGCTTCCACTGTATGAATCATGTATTTCAGACATATACAGTTTATATACAAACAAACGAGACCGTATCATACTAGAAAATAGAAAATAACAATTACATAAGAAGGGGTTTTGTGAATATTATAGTAATTTCAATAATTGAATTTATGAGTCGATCCAAGCTAGATCACCATAAAAAATCTGAAAGCAATGGACGGTCGTTTCATCCTAGTATGGGACTCTACAGCAGTTCGCATCTACGACCCCGCATGCCGGACTCGAACCCAGGCCAGTGGATTTCATCCATGTCTATTGTAGAGACAGTTACTCATTGAAAACAATGGCAGATGGTTGAGCAATATCATGGATTGGTTGAAGTTAGACACTAACACCGTTAGATGCCGGCCGGCTTAGTGGTTTAGAGGTTAAGCGTTCGCGCTCGAGACTGACAGGTCCTGAGTTCGAGGTGGAATCGTGGATGCGCAATCATGAGAAGTTTCACGACAGGATGAAATCGCCATCCAGTGCTTCCAGGTTTCAAATGATGGTCTAGTTTAAGTCGACTCATGAATTCAGCTATTGGAATTACTACAATCTCCACAAACACTCGTTTCAGAAATACATTACCGCCGTTCTAGAAACTATGGTAGAACTTAAAAACATTCCACCAAATATAAAGCAAGTTAAACTGATTGAAAATTAACTAACGATTAGAGAGAAAAAAAGGCGGGAAACGATCATTTTTGAATAAAGAACAAAATATTTTGTGACTTAAAATGGTCTCTTCAATTCAGAAACAAAAATTAATGCTGGCAAGACTATAATTAATGAACTAACCAATCAGATTTAAGGTAGCAGGTCTTGAATTTTGACTTGAAATTCATTCACCCATTTGTCTAAATAGCATGTTCGTATTTTAGCTGATATCAGTTTATGACGAAAGCATTAAATTTAATTCCTAATCCTAATTCCTCGTACTAATCTATAATCTTCATTTGACCCTAGTAAGTAGGTGAACATTCTCAAGGTCACTTTAGCGTCACTCAAAGGTCATCTATAAATTACAGTCTCATAGGTTAAAATGTATCTCAAGAAGAATGAATAAATTAGTCTCTATAGAAGATACAATAATCCATGTAGGCTTCACATGGATACTAGACACTACAATAATAATGTAGATCAAATATTAAAATCATGAGTCATGTGAAGCTAGACCACCATGGAAAACCTGGAAGCACTGAACGACCGTTTCATTCTATTGTAGGACTCCTCAACAGTGCGCATCTACAATCCCGCCCCCCCCCCCTGTGAGATTCGAACCCTCAGTGGTCTAATGATTAAGTGCTCGCGCGCGCAAGACTGATAGGTCCTGGGTTTGGATCCCATAAGGCGAGATCGTAGATGCACACTGCTGAGGAGTCCCACAATTAACTCATGATCTCAACTATTGAAATCCCTATAATATCCACAAAACCCCGACTGATAATAATGTAACTCATTTGATTTCTATTCATTCATAGAATAATTAAACATTAAATTATATTTCACCATCTATTTACTTCTCTAATCACTTTGATTTGTATTTTTTTCTTCTTTATTTCTTTTACATAATGAATAGGTTTTATTATAAAGATTCAATATTACGTAAATCACGTCAACAATTACATTTTCAATTTGCTATGCCTTATGTAAAATGGGCTGAAAAATTTTATGAAAATAAAAAAATGTTTTTTTAAAAATTCCACTTCATTTTGAAAACAAAACAACAACAACAACGACAAAAAAACACCACAGCAACAGCAACAAAAAAACGCCACAGCAACAAAAACAAAAACAACAACAACTGTACATTTTCATTGTATTCCTTATTGTTTCATTCAATTGTTTATATTATCCATTACAGTTTGTTTAATTCTTGTGAATATAATTGATTGATGTTATCCAACAAAAAAAGATATTATATATTAATAAGAAACTAGTGACTGGCTTCAAGATATATATATCCTGGAGTTCTAGTGAGAAGTAGTGATCAGTGAAGTTCAACCGGGTCAGTTGTGAGATAGTAACTCACTGATGACAGTGGTGGATGTGTCGCTCAATTTCATGGATTAGTTGAAGTTATACATTAACAACGTTGGATGTCAGCCCAGTGGCCTAGTTAGTTAAGCGCTTAGCGCGAGACTGATAGGTCCTGGGTTCGAATCCCGTGGGGCGGGGTAGTGGATGCGCACTGCTGAGGAGAAACTCTATATCTTAGTGAAATGAGTTCGCGGTTATAACAATTGAATATAGAATGAGTATTTTATCTAATTTAGGACTGATCAGTGGAATTGATCAATGTCTCAGTATCTCTAGTCTGAGTGATGTTGAAGTTCACGTAATTATCATAACTAATGATTGGAGACTGAGTGATATGGCATAGAATCGATCACAATGATGTAAATGTATACAGTCTCTGTCTCCCCTTAAACTGTGAGACTGACATTACTTTATACCTTGCATTCTACGAATTAAGTCTTTCTTCCTGTACTATATCCTTATATGCAATCTTTCTTTTTATATATTACCACCATTGAAGAAACTACTATGGTGTGAGCTACTTATATCCACACATGTAGTATAAAACGATAGTCAGAAATAGAATGTATTTCAGTAGAAGATAAAGAAGGAAAGAACGGAAACGGTAAGCAATTGCTATGGAAATGCACGAACAATCAAATCTGAGACGATGGACTGATATTTGCAAAAGGAACAATCAAGTTTGAGACGATTGATATTTTAAAAATTAACTATTTACTGTATGATTCTCAGATTTTACTGAGAAGTTCTGTAACTGCGGATTCCAAATACATCCGATCGTACCCACTCATGTTCTTGTTCACTACACTACTTCTATGAATTCGGCGTTCATCTTGTTGTGGTAATTATTTATGGCAACTTGGACCGATGCATGTATATGTCTGGTCCTACGTTGTAGCTGACTAACTGGCAGTATTCCTCTTTACTTTTAATTTCGGATTTTAATAGCCAATGTCTTATACGACAACGTTCAGATTACTACTTACTTATTGAATAGATGGGAACATAATAGTAAAGGATTGTGTTTTCGCGTCATTGATATTAAGGAATTTGATTATTAAATGCCTATCGGTTTACGATACATTAGTCTGACAGAGACAGGTCAATTTCAATCCTTAATGTCAATAACAGGCAAATACAACGTTTTACAGATGAATTTGTTACAAATTAATATGTTATGAAGAATCACAGAAGACTTAAAATAGTTCAAATATACATTCGTGACGATATATGATGATAATAAGAAAAGAGAATTATTCCTAACAATTATAAACATTCCAAACGCTATATATAAATATACTTCTGCGATTGAAATCCTGAGTTAATTGAAGCTGGACCACCATGAAAAACCTGATAGCACTGGACAGCGGTTTAGTCCTAGTAGGAGACGCCTTAGCAGTGAGCATCCATGACCCCGCACCCCGCGAGATTTGAGCCTAAGACCTGTCAGTCTCACGCCAGGCTCCCAACCAACTAGACCACCGAGCCGAAATCCAACGGTGTTAATGTCTAAATTCAACCAATCTGCCATGCTTTTTATGTAATGCACAATAAATTCGACTTATTTGTCAGTTTCACGAAAAAAGTTGAAAGTCATTTTCTTAACATAGATGGGTTAATCCATGTATTATGGCTACACACACTTTCTGTTTCAGTCAGTTTCCATTATTGTAAGCAAAGATGGATAGTGGCTAGTAGTGGAATCCAAGACGCGCGTTTCGTCCTATTTGGAACTCGTCCGCCGGATATACCTGCATCTCAGAGTTGATGTTCACTCCAAGACTTGAACCCAGTACTTTATGCTTCAAACTCCATTGCGTTATTCACTTAGCTACTGAGACCTGTTAGCCACTTGCTTGTGAAATAGGGTGAAGTTTATATTCATTTAGTATCGTTAGTTTGAATCTTCCCATTGAAGTTTAAAATTGCATCATTATTTATATTATCGAATTTCATTTCAACTAATGAGCATGCGATTTTCAATTTTGTTACGTATATCAGACATCACTGAATATCGATGAATCAACAGTTGTACAAAACTCCAAGTCTCAGTGTTAAACTGAAACAGACTTAGGATAGATCTAATAAATACCTAACGATAGTATTTAATTGAATGTCATCCAACATCGTATGAAGGTCATGAAATTTATCACCAATTTATAGAATGATTAAAGAACTCTTGTAGTGGACGAGAACACAAGTGGGAACAACCAAATGTATGTGAATACAAAATTACAGAACCTGTTAGTAAAATCTGAGAACCATACAGTAAATACTTCGTTTGCAAAGTATTAATCAATTGTCTCAGACTTGACTGTTGCTTCTTTTTCACATCAATCATTCTCTGTTCTTGTTCTCTTTTCTTTGATATTCTTACCCTTCTGAATCCAGGCATTTCACTTTCTGTTGATGGTGCATACTACTTATATCTATCGACATCAGTAGTACACACCACAACATGACTTAGAAATTAAGATACAATTGTCTAAATATATTATTGATTTGTGACTAAGAAAACTCGGTCACTTTAACTATGATAATGCGATTTGTTTAAAGATTTAGGTCAACTAATTTCCAACTGAATAAATAATGCAATTACCTTTTTCAGTTGTAAATTGATTTGAAATGAATGATTATAAATGATAATTGTAGGTCTGGACGTGCTACTTATAAGATGTCAAATCGAAGCACTCAAACTCTTGACATATTTTTCTTCTTTGGCTATTATTTGATGAAACGATGAACGAATATATTGAAATTCATGCATCTTACATAGGATGGATGTAAAAAGGTATTTGCAACAGCTGTCTGATTAAAAATAACTATTCCATTGAAGATGTATGAAAGATACGGGCAACTAAGCTGGAGATTCCAAACATTTCTCGGAAAATGCCAAAAAAATGCTTGGAAAACGCTAAGAAACACCTTATCTAAACAGCATTCCATAAAAATTTTACCAGAAACATCCAGAAAGTGAAAAATCACATGTGGCGTTTCTGATTGAATGATTACCTATATTTCTACTGTGTTTAGAAGGGTTCCAGAAATTTCCAGAAGCTCATGATCATCTAAAATACTGTAAATAAACTGTTTTCTCTCATGTCAAGTTCAGTTCACCCGAAAAAACAGCAACCAGAAACACTATTGGAACTAACCAACTACACATAGGATTAAGGCCTAATTTCGGTCATTGAATTCAGACTTTACTAGTAGTAATAAAAGACCAGATGATCTAGGTTAACTTTGTAATTAGATACAGTGGGTTTCGAACATAGTACACAGTAAATAAAAGTCATACGCTTTAACCAATGAACTAATTCCTACATGAAAAACTACTAAGAAGCATTGAAAAGGTATTTGCCTAAAAACGTCTTCATTACATAATTTATTTTGCATTGTAACCTGATGAATTAAAACATTTTCGGCTGATCCTACTAAAGCGATTGAATAATCCCTTTGAGGATATTATTCTGTCATTAAACTAAACCAACTCTAATCATAAAACTATTTTTCTATGATCATTAAAGATTATTAACCAAGTGAAATCAAGAATTGTCTTTTTGATTAGAAGTGGTTGAAGGTATTCGACTGATCAGTTTTAACTTACGTTTCGTCCGATTTAACACTCATCATCATGAGTTAACTGAAGTTTTTAGAAAATAGATCATTCTTGTGAAATTCAAAAATGCTTAGTATTATTGAACACCAATTCATCCGATAAGTCCCCGAATCAGAACACAGTTGAACAGGAACTAAATTATATTTCAAATAACAAGCGTAGATGGAAGTAAGAAGCACAATAGGAGAAACGTTAGTATATTTTTAGTTTTTACATGAGAAGATTGTACAGTTTTCTTCAAGTATCCACTAGCGCCGATTGGGCAAGAAATAACCAATCAGAGTGCACCAACATAATCATACACGGATCAAATCTGCATCCCACTAATAACTGTCCTACTAATTAGGTCCAAGTACCTAACAGTAACAACATGGTGCAAATGATATTCAGATTTCTGCTCACTATGTAATCTAACTGACAGAATTTGATCAATTTTTAATAAGCCAGAAAATTATAACACTAGTCACTACTCAATAATCAATCGATTAATAATAACAAATCTAATAGTTCGTTCAAGATATAGACCGAGCTGTTGCTTTCTTACATTACTGTAACATAGTAAAAAAGGCCCCTAAAAATCAATTATATTGTGGTATGAGCTACTTATACCGAAATATATAAGTAGTACGTAGCAAGAATTGAAAGTGGAACGCTTACCAGCAGAAGATTGAAATGAAGATAACAATTGTAATAACAACAGAATTGAAAGAATTAATGTGCATGTAAAGGACAACTCAAGGAAGATGTACAAAAGATGTATTTAATAAATGATTTGCATATTTTATAAAGATATCGCGTAATTTTACATAAATCAAGTGGTTTACCTTCTCGTAGCGGGGGTGTTGTTTATAAAATTGAAAAGGAGAAAAGCGAATGTCCGACACTTGAACCGGGTTGATGAACACGGAGGATACACCTAGGGAAGTCGGAAAACCCTAATTCTCCAAACCAATGGTGCACATGGGCTCCAGGGTCCTGTAGGACCAAATGGCTCATGGACCTATTGTTGGTAACCGGCTACCATGGGACTACATCTCCTCATCCAGGATTCCAAGTTACGACTTGCTTCGTGATGCAATCTGGTCATTTTCGTAATCTATGTCCTACTCATGTCCAGCACATTTTCTTTATTTCCTCTTCGTCTGGTAGTTGGTTTGTTCTCACACAAAGAAGGTTTTGCTGATGGTATCGCGCCAACGAATATTGAATGTCTTGCGTAAAGAGTTGTTTATAAATACCAATACATTTTAGATGATGGTTGCAGCAGTTGTCCAAGTTTCAGCTCCTCAC